ATATTATATAATGCTGAGTGGCTACACAGTTCAAGTGCCAAGTGCCCTGGTTGGAAAACCAGTGAGAAGTTAACATTTTTTCCAGTTAAGGTGGTTGCCTGATTGCCCAGCCGGGCGTGGCTCAGCGGTTGAGCGTCGACCTAGGATCCAGACAATCGGGGTTCGATTCCAGGTCAGGGCACATGCCCAGGTTGCAGGCTGCAGCCGATCAATGACTCTCTCATCATTGATATTTCTCTCTCTCTCCCCGCCTCTCCTTTCCTCTCTCTGAAATCAATAAAGATATATTTTTTTAAAAAAAGATGGTTGCCTGATTGATCTATCAAATGAATACAAGCCCAGCCCTAAGTATATCTTCTTGCATGAATATGTACGTCTTGAAATTCTGAGCAAAGGACTTATTTTAACTTGTAACAATTTTTGATTCAGCCTGTATTTTCATTTATGGCAGTTAAAGCTTTGGTTTTAACTGTGTTCCGTTGAGTGCAGGCAATGCTCATTGGGATTCTAAATGCATTGCTCTTTTCTCTTTCCCTTGCTGAACAGTGTTGTTGTTAATATTAAAACTCATTTCAGTCCTCCTCAAATTTTTACACTGTTCTCATACTCATAATATATTCTGTAAACCCTGGACTTACTGGTATTTGTTAAAAGTGTAACTTTTAAATGTTCTTTCATGACAGGTTATGTCCAGATAGGTTTTTAAATGTAAGCAAACAAAATTAAGCTACCTTACTGTGTGAAAATTTATCGTAAAACTGTTGAACAGAGACTAAAATATAAAAATTCTGTTCACCAAAATTCTCCATTTTCTTTTTCTTCGGCAAGTGCATCAAGCTTAGTTATTTGTCCTTTTATTTTAATTATTTTATTTAAGATTTTTTATTGATTTTTAGAGGGGAAGGAAGACATCGATTGGCTGCCTCCTGCACGCCCCCTACCTGGGATTGAGCCCCGGAGCTGGGTGTGTGCCCTGACCTGAATTGAACCAGCAACCCTTTGGTGCATGGGTTGATGACACCCCATCAACTGAGCCACACAGGCCAGGGCTATTTGCCATTTTAAATTGTCCTTATAACATTCACCCCTTTAGCATTTACTCTATGGCAGCCACTTTCAGCCGGTGTGCTGCAAGAATTTTTAAAACATGCAATACCTTAGTATTTAGTCAGGAGCACTGACCTCTTTTCCCTTAGATTGTCAAATAAAAAAATTAGAACAGCCAACACGACAATAGCCATCCAGTGTGAATGAATCAAAATTATACCTATGTTTTTTATCAGATCAGCAAAATATATATTTTTGGTGGGCTGCAGAATTTTATTTATTTATTTTTAAATATATCTTTATTGGTTTCAGAGAGAGGAAAGGAGAGGGAGAGAGAGAGATAGAAATGTCAATGATGAGAGTCATTGATGGACTGCCTCCTGCACGTCCCTGACTAGGGATCGAGCCAGCAACCCGGGCATGTGCCCTGACTGGGAATCGAGCCCCGATCGCCTGGATCCCAGGTCGACGCTCAACCGCTGAGCCACGCCCAGCCAGGCAGAATTAGTTTGTGTGCCATGAGATGGAAAAGGTTGAAAATTGCTGCTTTATGGGAAAGTTCTTTAAACATCAGAGTACAATCCTTTTTCTTTGAATGGCATTGTTTTCTGAAATAGTAAGACACAAATTAATTCAGAGTCTTGGGGTCCTTATCCTATGGATTAGATGTCCAGTCTTGTGAAATCATTATTTTTTTCTCCTCATAGTTTTTAATGGTGTGGAATTTCAATTTAAGTTACAGCTGACTTTTCAAATTTTGTTTGGAACAGGAAGAGCAAGATCTGGATCTACAGGGAAACGAGGTATGATTTTGTGTCTGAGTCCTTACCATAACACTCTTACTGCATTCCAGCTCCCAGAATGTTTGACACAATTCCTAACTACTAATTAAAACAGAAAAGGCTAAGGCAAGGCTCTAGAGTCAAACATTCTGGGTTTGAATCCCGACTTTGCTATATATAATTGCAACCTTGGAAACATTATTCTTTGTGCCTGTTCCCTCATATGAAGAATAGGGATTATAATTGTCCCTACTAGGAGAAAGCTGTTTTGAGAACTAAGGTAATATACGTAAAGCATTTAGAAAAGTTCATGGCATGTAGTAACACTACTTTAGCACCAAGCATTTTGACTCTAAATTGACTCATGTTGTTAAATAAATATGGGCAGTCTTATAGGCAGCCACCAAATGGGAAACTAAACCCTAGGAGTTCTCCTTAAGAAAAGGTAAGAGGGAAGGCTATTCTATCCCAAAAGTTCTCAGTTTCAGCACTATGAATATTTGGGGATGGATAATTCTTTGTTCTGAGTAGCTGTCCCATCCTTAGTCTCTACCCACTAGATGCCAGTAGCACTCTATTCCTGCCCCATACCCACTCCTCTCCCCTAGTTGTGACAACCAAAAATGTCTCCAGACATTGCCCAGTGTGGTCTGGGGGCAAAACCCATTTGAGAACCATTGGTCCAGCCAAAGTATCAGTGCCATTTCCATGCAATGGATTTAAATCTATTTGTGGTCATTGTTGTGCTTCATTTTAATCCATAGTTTTCTGCAACTCTAGAAATCCGCAAGTTTTTCTCCCTTTCTCTTACTTGGATTACAAGTGCCTTTTTGCAAATCATTGTTCTCATTTCTCATTATTGTTAGGCAAAAATTATAAGTAGTAAAGTATATATATTTAAACACCCTTGGTCTTAAACTCTCCAGAGCTATAAAGCAGAGCTTACAGCAACATCAGTCAGAAAAGGATAAAAATGTTGAGATACTAATTTGACAGGTTTTAGAGGTTTTCTTTTTTAGAGCTGATGTAAATTACTTTAATAATTGTTTGTTTTCCCTTTTTAGGAAAATCTCTTTGACTCTTTAACAGGGCAGCCACATCCTGAAGATCTACTACTGTTTGCTGTTCCAATATGTGCCCCTTACACCACCATGACAAACTATAAGTAAGTCATCACCACTTCACCCAAAACAGCTGGCACAGCAGTGATTTATGAATTGTTTGTAATCTCTGTTTACTAACACATACAATTTCTTTTTAAAGATACAAAGTGAAACTTACTCCTGGAGTTCAGAAAAAGGGAAAAGGTATTTAAAAATTTTTTTTGAATTATGATTTTAAACACTTCTTGACTGAACAGAAGTAGATTCTTCTAATTTCTATTTACAGCTGCAAAAACAGCCTTGAATAGTTTCATGCATTCCAAAGAAGCGACAGCAAGAGAAAAAGACTTATTCCGCAGCGTAAAGGTAAAGTATTCCTCCTGAACTTTCTGAAGATTGAAGAACATTCTGAAAATGTCAGCAGTTATTTGCTATTTTTTTTGTTCTTTATGTAGTAGATGCAAGCTGTAGCCATTCTTTTGGTAGAAAATGCTTCCTAGAAGCAGTATAAAATAAGTAAAATCATTTCAGGTAAATTTTAGAAATGCCTTTCTTTTGATAGCAGAGGATACATAATTGTCATAAAAAATATGATTATCCATATAGAATGTGAAGATATTCAATTCTCTTTTGTAGGACACAGATTTATCAAGAAACATTCCTGGCAAAGTGAAAGTTTCTGCACCCAATCTTCTGAATGTAAAGAGGAAATAGCTGAAATGAAATCCTAAAATATATGAGAAGAGCCAATTTTATAGCATTTTGGAAATTCAAAGATGAAAACACCATGTAACAAGACTTCTGCTTTTAAAAATGAACTAAACATTGCCTTGCTATATTTGCCAAAAGGAGTTACTCTTGTTTTATTCCAGTTTTACAGAGAGGAGACACTGTCTGTGATAGGATTTCCTAAAATATTTCTGGACAGTTAAATGCTAATTGTGTACATCTGTAGTTATTTTACATTTTCTTGAAATTTGGGAAGTTAATATTAAGTATTTATTTCGTGTTGTAAAGAAATGGAATAGTGAAGTGGCTCAGTTGCTTAGACTACTGACTGGGTAGTCTACTGTATATGATGTCTAATATATCTATTACTCACAGGCCAATCACGTGGTTTTTTTGGTGTGTTTTTTCTGGAGGTGGTGGTGTTTGGGGACAGTTAAACATTTAGGATTAACTCTTGAAAACCCCAAGTATTAAAGGATTAAGTTTCCTTCCACCTTTACTTATAAAGTACATTAGACCAGATTTAATATATAAATAATTCCTGTGACTAAGCTTAAGGAATAACACCTTGAAGAAACTGGTGTTGATGCATTTATACACCCTCACTTTTCACCCTTCTCTCTTTCTTGTAATCTCATTCAGTTCTGTACCATTTTACTTTCCACCTCTAGTAAGTATCGGTGGCATGTTACTGTACCTTAACCTATAATGTTAGAAATGCACTTTTAAGGTTGCCAGTAAAGACTCCAAACCCAGCTTTCTTCTGTCTCCTAACAGGATGGAGAATAAAGTCATACCTTATTTCCACTTTCATGAGCTATAAAACTGTTATTTTTTAAATGATCAGACAACAGCTGCCTATAGTGAGCATGACCATTTTCTCCAGATCCTATATCAAAGTGTTCAAGGTTAAAGTACTAAACAGCTTTTGGTCCTTCCAAAATTCCTTTTAACAGTTTTATCAGTCCTATTAAGAAAATTTTTCCATTTGAAATTCATGTTTAAAAAAACTTTATAATTAGACTATCTTGCCATTTTTAAAAAAAAATCTAAAATATTAATTAAAAAAAGATAACGTCAATTGGGGTGGTGCACACACAATACAGTGTACAGATGATGTGTTGTGGAACTGTGCACCTGAAGCCTGTAATTTTGTTAACCAGTGTCACCCCAATACGCTCAATAAAAGGAAAAAAAACCACTTCATTTTAAGTGGTAAGAATAATTAGTATAATGTTTCTACAGATATCTTGAAGTTACCATAAAAGAAATATAATAACCATTCCCTGGGGTAAAAAGCCCAAGTATTAATTTTCCTGTTTTAAAAGAAAACAATTACTGGTGTTAAATACATTTATTGTAAACTTTGGACACAAAAATAGGTTCTCTAGGCCATTCACATGCACATTAAAACCAAAAAGCTGCAAAACTACACATTGCAAATAACTATACAAATGATGCCACTCTGATGTTCACAGAATTGCTGTCCATGCAGGGTGATCCGAGGCATTATCTATGAAGCCTTAAGACCCAGAAGTGTTGTTACTACCGAACCTCTGATGAACACTGTGAAGTAAGTGTTTTGGAAGGCAGTTCCACGAGTTGGCTAACATTTCCTTAAAGCAAATGACTGCTTCCAAGCTTAGCCTGAAAGAATAAGGAAAAAGAAAAATAATTTCACTTTACTGTTTAGAAGTACCCTTACTTGATGAGCTATTAAAATAAAAAAGAAACCATTTCCTTTAAAGATTTTCATAGGTACTGGTTAGCTGGGTCCATGAAAAAGCTTGTTGGTGCCCTTAAATTGTCCATAAAACTAGTTTTTCAAGAGCACTATTTTAAAGTGTTAAGAAATACAATTTGAAATACTCTTAAGTTCCAAGTAAAACGTTACCTTACAAGAGATTTTGGTTGAACTGAAAATATGAGTACTTCATTACTGTGTGCCTGAAAAATAGGTAAGAAGAACACATTAAATATCAAGTACTTCACAAGTAAGTTTCAGCATTATGATGAAGTGTCCTTTACGTAAGGTAGTATACTTACAGCTCTGTGATGGACAAGAAGGTTATTGGCACACCCACCAAAAACAATTACTTCTCCTTCGTCACTGGAACAAGCTGTATGCCATAATCTACATTTTAAAAAAAAGCTTGAGTCTGAAGTCGCCAAAAACACCAAACTGATCACTTACACTACAGAATAGACTGATGAAATAAAGACTAGAGTTCTTTAGCTCAGACCAAAACATCACAGTGAGAAGCAATCATCTTAAAGAAAAATAGCCAAAGCTAGAAAAATCAATGTCTATTTTATCTGGATGTTAGCATTTCTCTGGTCCAGACCTAATATGCAACAAGGGGTTTGAAATGAACAAACTAACTGTTCTCTAGGTTTCTGTTGGCAATAACTGTTCTCTAGGTTTCTGTTAGCAATAAAAATCTTAAGGGAGATGAGTGGTACATGGCCTCTTACTCTTTTCATAGGCAGGGCCAGTTAGCCTTACACAAATCATCTGAGGGATGCTGAGTCTGCCTGAGGAAACGAAGCATCTGAAAGCCTGATAATTCTATGGAAAGAATACTTGTGCCTAATGAAGTCTAGTGGCCTGACTGTACTTAGGTTAGAGGCTTAGGAAAAAATGCAGGCTGACATATCTAAATGTGCTTTGAACACCTATTTTGACTATCATTTTCTTTTCAGTCTTTGTAACATTTCATTTTGAGGTTAACAAAAATAACTGTTTAATAGGCTCTTCTGATTTGATGATCTGACTTCTTACTCTGTTACGCAGTGCTACTGAACATCTAATTGAAAGACCTTGATTTTTTTCCCCATATACATTAAGGTTTTGTAATTCTTTCCTTTCCAGTTCCTTTTTCTTCTTTTTAATGACAAACCTAGATGCAGTTCAGTTCACTTGGGTAAAGAGCTTGATTATAAATGTTAACTATATCAGTAATTTTATGATAAACAAAAGAAAAAGGAAAAATAAAAATCCAGTCCTGTTTTTCATACAGAGATGACGGAAAAGAAAGCAACTGATACTAACGTAACATTTTTTTTCTTTCGAAAGGTATGATGTTAAACCTTAGTGAATGTTAGGATATTTATTTGAAGAATGATGGATTTAATGCAGCCAAAGTTTCCTCAATCTGTCTGTCTTGTACACATCTATGGACCTCATATATTTAGTATAAGAATTACCTTTTTAAATAGTTCATACCTTGGTTTGTCAATGTAGGGATGATTAAACTGTATCCATTCATTTTTACTGATGCAGTAAGTCCAGGCATCACCTGATTGAAACAGAAAAAAGAACTTTGAAGTACATTATTCTACCAATGTGCCATTGATATTTAAAGGGCACAGCTTTAGCAAGAAAAATAATAAACCAAGATTGTGAGTAGATACAGAAAGTATATTTCCTTTTTTTCCTCTGCTTTTAACCAAATAAGCCCTTGTGTGTTACAGCCCTTTGGCAAGGCTTTTAAGTGTTCCAGGTCATTTCTTTACAGAATAGATGTATGTCATCGTATGAAAACAATTAATAGGGATATGTTATAGGATCAAAATGAATAGCAAACCTTCTGACCAACCCTATAGCCCTGACACATCTAAAACAGACTAATTTTTTCCAACTATATCATTATATATGAATGATATATAATGATTTCTCATCATATTTTTAAAGGACTTACTTAGTGGCTGTTTATCAGTGGTAAATCCTCCAAAGAGAAAGAGATGATCTGAAGAAACTGGTGTTAGTGAGTGCCAAGATCGGCCAACTGGGCATATACCTTGTGGAATTCTGAAAACAATAGCTAAGTTACAACACTGACACCTAAAAGCAGAGAAATATTGAGGTTTTCTTTTAAAACTTAAAAGGAATTAAAGAAAAAGAGACTTTAAATTTAAAAGGCTTTTTGGTATTAACTACATGTTTTGGAATGAACTATTTTCTTCGACAGTCAACTTTAGACCTTTTCAACAAATATGGAGCACATATTATGTGCCAGGCACATAGTTAATGGGAACTGGAAATAAAAAATAAAGTAAAATTCCTCCTTTTAAGATCCAATGATCATGTTTATTTAAATTCATAGTCACAGAAAATTTAAGCAAGTACATAAGGGAAAAAGCCATTGAAATTTTTTTGAAAAACTTTTCTAAATAATTATCTAGCATGATACCTACAATTCATTCCACTCCCATGTATCCAGATTAAGATAGTGAAGATCATTCATTCTAGCATCCTAAAAAAGAATAATTAATTACCATTTTGAATAATTCAAAGCAAGTCATCGAAACTGTTCACATACTCACTCGATATCTGCCTCCAAACACAAAGCCTTTGTTTCCAACAGTTGCACAGGCATGAGCAGCACGAGGTGAAGGTGCTTTACCCTATTAAAGTCATATAAACAATTTAATAAGTGAACTTTTGATAAATACCAAAAAGAGTCTTCAGTATACAAAAATACTCATATAATAATGGCTAACATGTCTCAGGTGCTATGTTAAGTGCTCTGATGTATTAATTCACTTAATCCTCATACGTTCTACAGTAACAATGGTTTAGGTTAAGGATACTTGAATGACAAACCACTTTCCACATAAGAATATGCAAGGCACTTGAGCTTTTGAGCTGAAGTGCAGGCTTCTAGTCAACAGCAGTACTAAAGGCTGACTACCAAAACAGAATTTTAATTTTATATTTTTGAGGTGTATCACTGAATAGGCTAGTTAATAAATAGAATACCTGATTTATTTTTATCTTTTAAAATAAAAGCTAGGACATTGTATCACATCTGTATCAGAGGAGAAAGAAACTGATATTTAAGTAACTTCCAATATAGTGCTAGGTCATTTAATTACAAATAATACCACTCAACATCTATTAGATAATGGATGCTGGGTTGGTCTATACATTCATCAAAGTTTTCTGAGTTCTAGAGTCCTTGAAGAATAAAAGCTGTGGCTCTCTCCAGAAAACAAGAAGAATGAACTGTTGATCTTACACCACCTCCCAACTTCCCTTCTCTAACAGTCTTGCTTTCATAATCCATTATTCTTCAGTAACTCACAGTAGTTATAGGCTGGCTCCAGATAAATGTTTCAGTGTCTAAAATATGTACATGATCATTCCATCCTCTTGGATGACTTGAATTCTACAGAAAATAGTAAGAATCTCTGAGTTATTTTACAATTACTTTACAAAGAGTGTTTGCAAAATTATACAGCCTTGGTCTGATTTATTAACAAAGCAAAATGAACAATACTACTACCAAACAAAATGTATTATTTCAACATACTAAGTAGGCCATATGCAAATATGAAACTTCACTTACCCAAAAAGATGTTTCATCAAATTCAAAAGTTCCCAATACTTTATCTTCAGGTAAATATCCATACCCTCCAAAAAATATTAACCTATTAAATAAAAAAAACAAGACACTGAAAATTCAAATATCCATAGGTTAGGATACAAGAGATTTTTCTCCTTTGTTATATGAGTTGCAAAGGCACCATTGAGTATATGCAAATACTCATATAATAATGGCAAATATGTCTCTGGTGCTATGTTAAATGCTTTGATGTATTAATTCACTTAATCCTCATTCGTTCTACAGTTACAGTGGTTATCAGCTAAAGACATTTGAAGGTGCCTGTCCAAGTGTGGCTTAGCCGTTGCGCAATGACCTAGGATCCAGGAGATCGAGGTCTGATTCCCAGTCAGGGCACAAGCCTGGGTTGCAGGCTGGATCCCCAGTCAGGGGCGTGTAGGAGGCAGCCAATCAATGACGACTTTCCCATCGTTGATGTTTCTCTCCCCACCCCTCTCTTCCTCTCTCTGAAATCAATAAAGATAATATTTTTTTTAAAAAGAGATATTTGAAGGCCAACCACTTTCCACATAAAAACCCAAACCTGTAGTGCTGCTGGTAACTAACCTGTTTTTATACACCCAGACACCAAGTTTGTCCTTTGACGACGGAGGAATTCCTTGGCAATCAATTCTTTCCCACTGTAATACTCTGTCTGTACACCTTAAATCCAGCATGTAGAACTGTCAGAAGCAATGATTTCAGTTAGATCTGGTTATGTGAAAGAAATTCAACCTTGGTATTTAATTTTGCTGTGATTTATAATAAGAATGTCATCTAATTCAGTACTTACTAAAAGTATGACCACAGACTGGCTGCCCATCTACAAAACTGTTACTGAGTCTAGATAAGGAACTTGTGCCAGAATATAAATTACCTAAGTCACTAAGCATCCTGTTTAGTTCAGCTAATTTTTTTTCACAGCCACACTTTTGGAGAAGGAATAGAAGTATATTGGTTTACATTCTGTGCTTTAGATAGGCACTCAAAGTTGTACTGATGTAATTTATGGGTATCAGGATATTACCAAAAAATCAGACTCAGCAATTACACCTCCAAATTCAATTTAACAAACACGTGTCTACTTTAGGAGCTAAGGACAAATCTTAAAAGATTAAGTATCGGTCTATCTTTAAGGGTTCACATCCAGGTGCTTGAATAAATCTGACCACTATATATACTTTTTTTTTTTTTACTTAAGACTCCTAAGCTTCCTTTTGATCAAACTTAAACTCAACCCTAGCCACTTGCTACTTTAGTGACTAACATTTCTCTTCCCGCCCCTAAAAGCCACAGCTTCTCTCTCCCAAGCTTCCTCCTTGCACAAAATTATTTTTCTCCCTTTGGCCCTGAGAAATACATGGCTCAACTACAGCCTATAGCAGTGCCTCACAAGATCTTTTAGGCACAGAACCCTTTCTTCAAACAAAATCTTTTAAGTAAAAGCTTAACATATAAAAACAAAAATGGTGCTACACTTGTTAAAATGGTGGCAGAAGGAGCAGTCTGGAAACACTGAACACCATTATGCTCCTCCCACAGGAGTCCTAGAATTGCTAGGAGCAGTTTGAAACCACCTCAGCCATATGCTCCATCTTACTGGGCTACTTGGCATTTCCATGAACAACATATTTGCTTACACCTCTGCATCTCAATACCTGTATCTTGGCTACCCCTTCTAACTGTATTATTCAATTAAAGCATCACCTCTTGGGTGAAGACTACTTTTTCTGTTCATCCTACAGATTCAACAATATTACTGAGCTATTACTATGAGCCAGGCTCTGTGTGTATCTGTACCTAAGCTACTGAAATCATTTACTTATTACATGTGTCCCTTCTAGAATGAGCTGCAAGAGGCAAGGACTGTATGCATCATTCATCTCTGAGTCTCCAATGTCTAACCAAGTGCTCAGCATATAAGGTGCCCTCTTAAGTTGCCAAATAAATGAATTTATAAGAGTCTACCTATATCATATGTTCCTTTCTGACTGACTTCATCTGTCTCTACTGGCCTGAGAGAACAACTGATCATCTTTTTCCTGTTTGGGAAAAACATGAACAAAGTTTGAATGACAGTATCTCATGGTGCCAGATCATAGGAATGTTAGTATATAAAATTTTGTCACTGTTAATTTGTCCTTATGGCTTTCTGAGTGGTGGCCTGTTATTTTTTACCCTGCCCCTCAATGATTACCTCGTTTTCATCTAATTTACTGTTATTCATCTAACACTCCAGGTTTCTAAAAGAACAAACAATTAGCTGCAAAGAACACAAAAACAACATAGGAAGTTACTGCACACAGGTTACCAACCAAAGTTGATTTTATAAAAGGCTTAGGTAAATACAAACTGGTAGACAAAATTCTGAAATGCACAATACCAAAATCCAGTATACATATTTTTTAACTGGGACAGGAATAATTGTGGGCTAACCACAGAAGTGTAAAGCTGTCTAAAAAAGAGTAAAACTGCCTTGAACCGTAATCCTTAGAAACACTAACCTTATTTGTATTGCCTCTTGAATGGTGTCCTCCAAACAAGTACAGCACCCTGTCTACACACACAGCACAGCTTCCTGACATAGAAGGAGGAACATCACCTTCAGTGTTAATTTTTCTCCTGAGGGGGGGAAAAGCAATGTAAATAAGCCTCCCAAAAGGGAAACGCAAAAATATTTTTATTTTTCTTCTAGTCCCACAATAAAGGGGGGAAAATAAATAGGCTGACTAGAGATCATATCTAGGATCTCATTTAGCTCTAAAATTAATTCAAAGAATGAGCTCTTTCCTCTTCATTCCACAGGCTATGACAGCTGGTCCTGCACATACGCAGAATGAGAGCTTCTAAAAGCCTCAGGGTCACATTATTCTAGGAGCACACCATTTTGTTTTTTAAACTAAACTGTTTGCTTTTTTATTTACATGGCCATAAGTGGTTATTTTGTTTTTGTTCTTGAGTGAGCCAGAAAAATTTCCAGCGTCCTAGTCCTGACAGATTAATTCAATCGGTGTTCTTTATTCAGTCACCTTTAGCCATTCAAATGAATCTCATTCAGACCTTACGTACTACTATAGGCACCTAAGTAGTACTTACTATAGGCCAGGCACTGCTCCGAGTGCTTTTGCATGTTTAACACATTCTGAATCTAATAAAAATGAAGCTGAATCAAAATTAATTAAGAAATAGAAGATTCAAAATATTAATAGGTCATTCACGGTCTTCTCACAATATCACTTTGTATCAAGGTTTTACATTTTAGTAGGCTTATTTTTTTAAATTATGGGGCTGATTTTAAAAATATATGTAAAAAAAAGTAGAATTCCATATGAAATGAATATATAAATTTATTATCAATTTATTATACTATAAATTTATTATAAATTTCCCATTCTCTAGAAAAAGATTGGCAAACAGCTCAGAAAACACTGATTAGCCATGTACAGAAATAATCCTCTTATGTTTAACTCTTAAATCAAGGGGGAGAACTATTCCAGTTCTGAGATCTATAACATGTAGTATATGTAAAGCACAAGTTCTCACAATGCAGACCACGGGGAAAGACTACTTTATAAATCTTCAAACATGGCTAAGACAGCCTTTTGAGAATCGCATTAATCCTGCCACTGACATACTCTTGAATACCACTGTTATAAGACTAGCAAAAGATCCTCTGAGAATATCCCTGGAAGGCAAATTTAAGTTAGTTTTGTTTTTTAAACAAAACATACTATTTCACGGAAATTTTAATGTTAGAGCTCATTAAAATAGTATACCACCTTTATTTCTAGTACATACAATCTATAATTTTTCGCATTCAAGATACCACATAACATCTTGAAAAATACTACGTGGAACTTTTATTTTATTTCCATTCCAGGATCTGAAGCCTGTACTTCTATTTTAATAACACTATGATACTTTACGGAGCCCTGAACAGAAATTTCTTCAAGGGTCATAAAAACATTTAGTAATTACTAGTACTACTGAAGAGATGCTAAAAAGCATCTAAGCTTAACAACCAGGCCAAACTAGCACAACACTGCTTTCAGAACATATAGATAGCTTAGCATCTTTAAAATTTTTTATTAATTAGAAAGGATTTTATAGGTTTCTTTTTGTTTGCAACATTATTTGAATGTTTTAGTCCCCCTTATAAATCCAGTTACCATCTTCCAGTCTCCATGTTGTAGATCCATAGTTCTTCTCTAGGCAGATAAAAGTCATATAATCCTCTGACTTGATTACTCTAAGAACCAAAAAGAAAATTGCAAATATAAAAAATAATTGGTATTATAAAGAGGCACTACTGTATATTTCTCATATCTATCTTATTTGAGATACTGAGAGTTAATGAAAAATTAAATCAGTCTGACAAGTCCATCAAATGCACAATCCTCCCCACCCCGTGCCACATACTCAAGGTAATGCTTACTATAGACAGCTCTTATTTCATATTTTTGATAGAGCATTTATAATGGTGCAGGAAGTTAAGAGATCACCAGGAAATCTCCAAGGCCATTTTATCCTGAAGAAACCATGCACCAAAGGTCAGTTGCATGACTTCAGGAGAGATTACCTGTGCCATGGTCAGCAGATTAAAGGTCTGCCTTGGCCTGGCTGGCGTGGCTCAGCGGTTGAGCACTGACCTATGATCCAGGAGGTCAAGGTTTGATTCCTGGTCAGGGAACACGCCTGCATTGCAGGCTCCATCCCCAGTAGTGGGCCTGCAGGAGGCAGCCAATCAATGACTCTCATCATTGACAGACGTTTCTCTCTCTCTCCCTCTCCCTTCCTCTCTCTGAAATCAATAAAGATATATTAAAAAAAAAAAAAAAAATCTACCTTTAATTCCTTACCCACATTGGCACGTGATACATAGTTTTCTAGCCATTGTTTCTTTTGACCCATTCATTCTCTACCAAGATGCGGAGAGGGTAGCACTGCAAATATGTAAATATTAAGTCCTTATGCAATATTTTAAGTTCCTTGTTCTGCTCTATTTCCTTCAGGTAATAATTCTTAACAGACTGAGCATACCACATGCTAGAGCTAGCTGAGTGCTACCCATGGATTGGATTATTTAACTCTCACAACAACCCTTAAAAGTAGTTGGTATTTTAAGAAAACAGGTTTTTCGGGGAGGTGATTTGCCCCAGGTTACTTAGCAAGTGATGGTAGAACCAGGATTTTGCTTCCTTTCCTTGAATTGGCAACTTCAAGTGCTGCCTGATCTCTCCAGCCTTTGAACCTCACTGGCCCCTTTCTGAATAATGTCAACATACAGTAACCAATTGCAGTTCACTGAGAATGGGTGTCAGAGTCTAATAAGCTGGAGTATTACACAAGAATAGAGCACCTGGCCATGTAAACATTTTGCTTTTCCTTCCACCACTTTCAAAGGGAAAGGCTAGAAGACAGCAGGCTGACCAACCCTGAGCAAATCACTTGGCCTAGGGGGGGAAACTGACTACTGTGTGAGAAGCTAGGGTTTATTGCCTTCAAAACAATCTCCAAAGGCGTCCTGTGCCTACTCTAGCCAAAATGTGGATAGCCTGTTTTTGAACCACCCACTTAGTTCACTGATCATGCCTCTCCACCCTGCCTCAGTCCTCAGCATCCACTACCTCAAAAACAGCATCAGAAATCTTCCACCCTGGTAAGCCCACACACACACACCCAAAGGAAAGTCCCATTCCCTCACTACTTCTGATTTTTACAGAATTTTGAATAAAGTAGTTTAGACTTAAGTATGATTGATCAACAGGTTTACTTTTCTCCTTGGGAATTACATTTCAGTAAGGGTCCCCACATACCTACCCCCTTCCTCTTAACAAGTACCCTCTAAACACGTACTCATTGGAGGCTGAGGAAAGCACAAATTAGGATTGGCAAAAAAAATACTTTTGTGATTAAACTACATGAATTAATCAGGATAGCTACAGCACTTTATCCCATCTATCTTTTGACCCATCTCAAAAGCGGTCAACTATGATCAGATCAACTATCATGAACAGAAATGTACTGCCAGAGTCACAAAGCAAGTCATCAAAGGCACAGATGTAGTGGACAAGATTTCAAGGAAATGAGAGACGGAGGAGATCATTTTTTTTTTCCCAATGTTTTTATTGATTTTTAGAGAGGAAGGTGGAGAGAGGGGGAGGGAGAGACATCCATGCAAGAGAGAAACATGGATTGGTTGCCTGCCATATGCACCCCAACGGGGGACAGAACCTTAAACCTGGGCATGTGCCACGACAGAGAATGAACCAGCGACCTTTCCGTGCACAGGAGGTTGCTCAACCAACTGAGACACACCGGCCCGGCTAAGACCAAAAGGGACTAAAAAGAATGTTTTTGGTAGGAATGCATTAGAGCCAACTGAACAAATGAAATGAGACAATTCTAGAATGTGGAGTGTTACTGGGAAGTTCTAAAGAGCAGGAGAACTAGTGGGCAAGGTTTAACGCGGGCTGGGATTCCCCAGGCAGAAACAGAAGAAATGCAACTAACTGGCTCTTCACTGGTGACTAATTACATTATTTATCATTGGGGGTTGAAGGTGTCGAGGAATTGTTGACACTTTTGGTTACCAGCAGAGCTTTTCCATTAATTTTAATGGAAGTTTCTTCTGAGAATTTTCAGCCGTTTCTCAGCTGGAACCAAAAGGAAAACAGCTCTAAAACGTTCGAACAACAGAGGGACGGCATCTGCACAGGTGGAGGTGATCAGGGGACGGGCGGGAAGGTTAAGCCAGGCGAGGGTTCCTGCGGCCTTGCGGCCTTCCAGGGGTTTTCCTACACCTGTCACCCCGCAGGTGGCCAACGGGACCGGTGGGCCCCATGACCTCGGCTCCACACACCGTCGCCTCTTACACACACCCCAACTTTTAAATAAAAACACTGCAGGTNGACTTGTCACTGACACTTCTGTGCCCTAGCTCCCTCATGGCTAAAGTAGGGATTGTGATGGTACTTGCTTTTTTTTCTTTTTTATTGAATTTATTGGGGTGTCATTGGTTAATAAAATTATATAGGTTCCAGGCATACAATTCCATAGTACATCAGGTCCTTGCTTTATGAGGCAGTGAGAGTCGAGGTAATAAATGTTAACACTTAGAACAATGCCTGGCTAATGAGTGCCTGGTAAATGTTAGCTATTAATAACAAAAACCCTGATGAAAATGAATCACTTCAGGACAAAGCTTTTTTAATATTCTTAAAGACAATTCCTGTTCAACTCTTACCTTATAATAAATCAGGTTATCTGCAAGAACAGCCTGCTTAATGGATGCCCCGTAGGCTAATTCTTCTTTTCTCCTGTACCATTTAAAGACCTGGAGTTTTTTCCATAATTAAACCTGCACAGGAGCCGAGAGCAATCTTTCCACCTCACCGTGATCACCTATTAACCTTAGTTCACAGGCAGAAAACTCCTGACAACACGTTTTAACCTGGGATTCTTACCTGGACTCATGCGTGGTTTCCCATTTCCGTAACTAATGACCGCATTTAGCAGATTCAGAGCCTCCCTCTCCAACGAAGGACACGTTTGAGCGACACTGAACCAGACACAGCAGCTGAGACGGGCTGCCTGCCGCGAAACCCCCTCAGCGACTCTGGTGCTTGGGGACCGTGGCTGAGGGACCGAGCGCAGGCCGTCTGCTGGCTTCCGGGCCTGAGGGCTGCCCTGGGCGACACACGCCCCCATCTCACCTGCAGGAGGAGATGCTTAATTCAAGTTTGAATGTTTACAAGGAGTAAACTTAAAACTAGGGACCTGAAGATCTCTGACTGGCAAGGATATGTCTTTCACCCGGCCGGCCGGCGTGGCCCCGCGGCTGAGCATCGGCCTAGGATCCTGGAGCTCGCGGTGGGATTCCCGGTCGGGCACAGGCCCGGGTTGCGGGCTTGCTGCCCAGTCGGGGCCGTGCGGGAGGCAGCCGGTCAGTGACGACTCTCTCGTCACTGATGCTTCTCTCTCTCCCTCTCGCTGAGATCCGTGAAGATATATTAAAATAAAATAAACATCCTTTTTAAAAAAGGACTTGCTCTTCCAGGAGTTCTCCTCAAAGGCTGCCCCGCCTGGAAAGGGGTAGTGAAATGGCCCAGCTGGTGCGTTTCTGTCTCAGCCTCTCCGGGAAGCCATCCCGGGGTCGGGTTTCCCTCGGTGCCGAGGGGACGCGCCTCGCCGCTGCCGAGCGCCCATCGCGGCGCCCGAGGCTGCTTGAGGCGGCCCCGCGCCCCGCCACCCGCTCTCTTCTGGCTCAGCCGAGAGCTTTAGTTCGGAAAATCGCCCGAAAAGCGTTTCAGAACCCACCGCTGCCGTCAGGCGAATCCTGCTCACACACACAGTTTTCCATTCTATGATACATTTGAATTAGGTCAAGAGCAAATTCAGAATTCTTACAAAGCTGATTCCTCACCTGAAGCAGGGCCGGACTAGAACACACCTTAGATCCCTACCCTAGTGGTGGCTCTGTGCCTGGGTGAGTTTGGTGAGTGGAGGGCTTTATTACTCACTCTTCCATCTTCAAACTGGAATCACTATTTAGAAGAAATACTTTGAACAACAAAGGGCTTTTCTCGCTAAAATTTTCATAGCCTGAAACTCCTTCCCTAGCCACTGCCTGTATGTTTACAACTTATCAAAATTTGTAGTATGGGTGATAGCAGTGCTTAGAGGGAAATCTGTAGGGTGTCCCAAAAAATATATACACACTTTGAATAATTATTAATTCCAATGTTTCTTTTCAGATTTAACCCATCGGAATTAATAATTACTCGAAGTGTGTGTACATTTTTTTGGGACATCTTTTTATATTAGAAAAGAAGATTAAGATCTAAAATCAGTCATCTTACGTTTCCATTTTAGGAAACTAGATATAGAAGAGCAAATTAAATCCAAAGTAAGCAGGAAAAAAGAAAAATTAGAGCAATATCAATGAAATTGAAACAGGAAACCAATAGAGAAAATCAATGAAACCAAAAGGTGTTTTTTTGTAAAGATCAATAAAATTGATAAGCCTCTAGCCAGGCTAAGACAAAAAGAGAGAAGACACAAATTACTAATATCAGAAATGAAATAGGGTCCATCATGACAGATCCCCTGGACATTCAAAGCATAATAAACAAACATGAACAACTCCATGCCCACATATTTGATGACCTAGGTGAAATGAACCAATTCCTTGAAAGACACAATCTGCCCAAACTCAAACAAGCCTATATCTTTTTTTTAACTTTATTTTTATTATTTACACTATTATAGATGTCCCCACTTTCCCCTCCCCTTTACCCATTTCCAACCTCGCCCCCAAATAGCCCCATATCTAATAAAGAAACTGAGTCAATAGTTAATAACAAAATTTTGGGGGCAGTGAAACTTTATATGATAATATAATGGTGGATACATGTTATTATCCATTTGTCTAAACCCATAGAACATACACTATCAAGAGTGAACCCAAGTGTAAACTATGGATTTTAGGTGTGTCTTAGCTCAGGTTGCTATAACAAAATACCATAGACTGGATGGATGGCTTAAACAACAGACATTTAATTCTCATGGTTCTAGAGGCTGGAAATTCCAAGATCAAGGTGACTGGGTTCTTAGCGAGAGCCTTCTTTCTGGCTTGCAGACGACTGTGATCCCATTGCATCCTCACGTGGCAGGGAGTGAGAACTCTGCTCTCTTCTTCTTCTTGCAAGGGCAATAATACCATCATAGGATCTCTCCCCTCATGTCCTTATCTAAATCTAATTACCTCCCAAATACCCCACCTCCAAATGCCATCATATTGAGGATTAGGGTTTCAACACATGAATTTGGCAGGAACACAAACATTCAGTCCATAACAGGGTGATTTTTAAAATGTTCTTGCTGTGGCTACAGATGTACGGTAACTATCAAACTGAAAATTCCAATAGAACGAAATTCATACAGTGAAAAAATAGGCACAAAAAAGGTGCACAGGGGGGCATTATTTGTCTTTTAAAACTGCTTTTTCTTCAAAAATGTTCTGAAATCAAAATTTTAAGTTGTCATTATATACGACCCTGAAAATTACTCTGTCTTAGTAGGTTTATTTTCTCTCACATGTACATAACAATATAAATAAGGTACTGGTGAAAACATCAGTTTATGCCTGTGCTGACACTATGGAGTTCTAAAGAATATTTTAAGCTTCTATCAAAAGGCTAATAATTTTTTAAAGATGTTTGTGCAAAAATACTATTTGGAAAAAAAGGTACACTAATTTTGATGTGCTATTTACTATGTCATACTAAAAATGATAGTACTAAAAAAAGAACCCTTCCTGACAACTGGAAGAATATCCTGAGAAACATAATAAAGGTGGCCAGAAATTCTTTTTCCTTGAGAACCAGAATGGAGACCTATCTTATGAACCACCTGAATAAAACCTTTTAGAACCTTCTTTCAAACAGAGAGCCCATACGGGACAGTTCAGAGCTAACGTTATGAGACTGTCATTGCCTTGGGCTCCTATATACTGTGGAGGTCAACAACACAAAAGTTGACAGCTGACATCTGCTGCTGAGAAGTGAGGAATGAATACAGCTTCGCTATCAAACTTCAAAACTGGCTTTGCCAGCTCCCAGAATTTCTGTATCTCCTAATAGCAGGAGAGCCTTCGTTTAAACCAAGTTATAGAAACAAGTTAAATATCAGAATTCTCTGCCACTCCCACTATGAGGTTACCTCAAGACATACAATTTTTAGAGTAATACAATCTATTAGGTCAAATAAGTACAGCACCAGTTACATGTGCCATAGATAATAGATTTTCATTTTCTTGAAGCCTAAACGTTGGTGTGTATTTTGAGGGGCTAATCCAACTTTTAATGTCCACTTGAAAACAGAAGTCTTTTCTAAGAAGCTAGAGAAGGCATTCATATAATCCAGAAGCCATTTTAAAAAGTGTTCATTCCACTCAATGTCATCTATAATCATCTAATAGGTTTTGATAGTTTTCCCTTAAATATGAAATGCTGATACTGAAGCTCACTGTAATAAAATAATTACTTATAAGATGTATATTTCCTGCAATATTCATTTTCTAAATCTGTTATTCAGCCTAAAAATAGTAAGAAAAAATGAAAACTTACACTGAAATATTGTTTGTACAATCAACTCTAATGACAGTTCACACTGAAAAAACTGGGAAAATAGTAAATCTACATAGGTTGTATAATAAATAAAATGTAAACACACTATTTCAATACATAAATAGAAGCTTTACACATCGAAAATATAATACATATATATAAAATATATCTCAAAAATTTAATGAGGTACTACAAACTACTATAATTTTCACTATAAATTACACATATATTTCAAGAGAGAAATATATTTGCTCTAACATTTTAAACTTCAGATATAATGTCGATGCTTAAGAATATTTTACTAAATGAGTGGTAAAAGGGTAGGTGTTCCACACTTAACACCATACCAGTGTTTGCCTATTTTATAATGTTGGCCGGCTGTAGTAGTAATGTAGGAAACGTTATTTAAATAACTGAGTTATTTAATGAGAAGCTTCAGGTAATTTTAAAGTGACTTGAAAGAATCTATTCTTTCTAAAGGTGAATATGTAGTGTTTCTATGTATCATGTTGAAAGATTTCTAAAGTCCTTGGGTAACTTCTTATTCTCTTCAAATTTGTATAATCTTTCCAGTAATGAGTACACAGTGAGTTAAAATCTCCTACAACTGTACTTACTTTCAGAAAGTATATTTTTTCTGCAGCTTATAAGGAATTTATTTTAGAAATATAAATTAATCTGCCATTAACATCTCACTCCCATATATCCCATTCCATGTAATCACTTTAACATAGCATTTCTGCTGCAAATTTTATCTTCTAAATAAAGCCTCCAATTTGGGGAATAAATATACACTATGATTAAAATTTTTAAACATGTTAAATACATAAAGTATATAACAACTTAATTGTTACTGATCCACTGATACTTAGTTTCTGTTTCTTCTTTTTGGGCTCTTTGTTCTTCTCGGTGGTTAGCTGCAGTCCAAAATGTGATTTTTTTGAGTACTTGTCGCAGAAGTTTAGGAGGTAATAAAGATATTTGACTTTCTAAAATTATAGCATTTTTACCAATGCAGTCAAGACATGACCTGTAAACAAAACATAACAGAATTATTCATTTTTAAGTTATAATATAAAAATGTATAGGTAAGTTTCTTAAAAATAAAAATCATTTAAAAATTTTTACATAACGTATTTCCATTGTATTGTTTGGAACATGATAGGATATATGTTCTTCCCAGAGCACCACAATAATTGTATATTTTTATAGCCCAGAGATTATATCTGACCAAAATCCAATGGAAACAGAAATTACAACTTACCATGCATGATGTTCTTTAAATAAAAAAGATTCAGGCTTAATTTCAAAGCAGGTTAGTCTGTAGCAGACCCTTTTCCAACTAGCCCTGCAGCCCAACACCCATTTACTCTTCTCTGAGAACTGTTTATTCCATCTCCAAGATGAAACATCCATTTTTACATGATGTGACCTGGTCCTCCCCAGACCCCCTCTATCAGTGTCTGCACTGGACACTTGACTTAAGTTGACCCAGAGAGAGCAGGTTTGAGAAGGGGAATGGAGCAGTGACACAAAAGAGCCAAGGGACCACCAGAGGTTTTCCTGGTCTGGGGCCCGGTATTCATCTTTTCCCTTTAATTCCACTAGTGGGCAGTGTCTTTCCAAATGCAATCCCATTTTTATCTTAAGCTACTTTGAAGAGGGTTTTTATACTTTAAAACCAAAAGAAAATTAAGATAAGAACCATCAAAAAAGCATCTATTTCAACTGATAAACTTATATCTGGTGTAGATTTAACTCTGCTGCTATAGAGACACAGTAGCTCCTGTGTCCCTTCCATAAGTGGGGGAAAGGAAGAGTCAGACAAGGAGATGGACTCGGTTATCACCTTCCATTCAGTGAGTCAACAAATATTTATTAGTGTGTACTATGTAGTACCTATTGGCTTAGGAGTAGGAAACTCAACACTGAGAAAAACTATTTCAACCTTCAAGATGATTACAGTTTAGTGAAAAAAATAAACAATTAACAATAAAATGTTATAAATGATGTGACTGGGATAAAATGAAATTCTCATAGCAGGTATAGGTCCTATGGAAATCAGATAGGAAGAGTAACCAAGACAGCCTTCATAAGCCAGGTGCAGTTTCCAGACGGGAGGTCCAAGCTGAGGCCTTGAGAGTCTTAGCAAATTAAATAAATAAGGTGTTCCAGGTAGAGGAACCCCACCTACAAAGCCCCAGGGGAGAGAAATAAGATTTATTATAGAAGAACCATGTCCAACTCCGCTTTGTTTTCCCCCAATGAGTGCTAGATGCTTTCTGACTTCGAATTTAAAATAAAATGATTACACTTGCTGCACTGTGGACAACTAGCCGTGGTGAACACGCTTCACACAATAAATACCACTGAATTCCTGATATATTCAAGTTTTGATATGTTCAGCATCGAACGGGCCTGTACCCACTCACAGAAGCTCTGCAGTAGGTGCAAAGGGTGATACCAAGGAGGCTGACTGATGGTCACCTTTAGTCCCAGCCTCAAATACAGGCCCATCCACTGTGTTCTTTTGCTTTCTCTCATTTCTATACTGGTTCATCTTCCCCATCACTGTTTATCTTTGTAGAGGAAAGACTATTCCAAGATGTGACCGCTGCCTGGCCAGCGAGCTGGACCTGCGCTAGAGTGGGGACAGTGTTTCCCACAAACCCCCCTTTGGGGACTGTCTGATCCTGATCGATGTTTGTTAAGACATGAACCAGCACCTCTCCCCTGCGTCACACCAACTGGTTCCTGGACACAGGCCATTGTCTAGAGCCGGACAAGCATGTAAAGCAATTTACCGCACTCGGTAGCGTTCCCGGATGAGTGCCGGGACTATTCACCCCTTTATCCCACATAATTCTGTGGTGCCTGCCAAGTGGTGTGGGGATCCACTTCATCTTACAGCTGCCCAAGATGCGCCCCCCAAGTAAGTTTCTCTCAATTAACTCCAATAATTACCAGACTGGAGTGGCCAGACTCTTCAGTCTTTCCCTGTCCTCTGCCCATGGAGATTTTCAGTCCTGGGACCTTTTCCCAGGTCTATGTGTACTAACAATATTCCCTTCCGAACCTTTCCTTTGTGTTTTTTGGAACACCACTTGTGTCTGCAAATACCGCTGTTTCCACTGCTTTTCTGTCCTAGCTTTAATGGAAATCACAGAAAATTGCTTTATGTGCAGCCCTCTTGAGAAAAGAGCACAATTTCCCTCACCTCCGCTTTCACGATCAGGAGCCAGTGTGAGTGTCCTCTCTCCCCACACACCTCCAGCCGCTGTCATTTCACCTTTAGGTGTTGCCACCTAGTAACCGCCGCTCATCCCCACCCGCACCCCCGAGCCCTGATGTTGAGCACTTTGGCCCTTGCTCACCACGACCTTGTCTCTTGACTGATATTAGCATCTGTGTAGAACCCCCTCTTTTTTAATTCTTTATGATCTCATTCGGGCAGCTCTGCCTCTGAAATCTTAAAGTTCCATACCCTCCTCTTGGACCATAACCCTGCATCCTTTTAATTCTTACTCTCTTATCCTTCAACTCTTGCTGGTTCACCAAATAATAAGGCCCCTCCAGTTTTAACTGTCTTTCCTATCCGGCCTAGTCCATATGCACTTCATTCTTGCGCCAACAATTTTAATCCTGCTCCCCACTGTCCCTCTCTTACACCATCCTGGCTAAAGTGCCACCGTGGGTGAGTTCAGCCACCTGTCTCCTTCTGCACCTGCCACCTGGCTGCTCAGTGCTGCTGGAGAACACCCTGTTTCTGCCGGCCTGGCCCACTCACTGCATAGTGATTCCCTTCTATCTCAGCGCCGCCCCGAGTCTCAGCACTATGTTACATACCCCAAGTCGGCATCTTCTCAGTCACCTCAGCAGCTATTTCAGATTTCACCACTCTTCTCACGTTCACATCCTCACCTCTCTGCTTTCTTACCAGGTGGCCTCGCCGGCAGCTAAAACTCCCTCAGAGTCCTGCCCCAACTGATCCATCTGTCTTTATAGCTATACTTCCTTCTTTTCCCACCTTTTTAAAAGTATTCTTGCTTCAGTCAAGGGGCAGTTCAATGACCTGTTTGCTGAAGTCCTTAAAACCATGCTCTGCCCATTTTCCTTCACTGTGTGTCCAACAGTTTGCTCCCACTGCTTTCTTCCTCAGCACGTGAGCAAACATGCTCGCTCCTGCCTTGATCTTGGTGCTGGTCCCTGGAAGTCACCCTGGCTCCCAGCTTCACCTTGCTAACAACTTCCAATATTATCAAACTCCAAGGCACTTTTCGATCCAGATACCCTGCGGCCTCTTTACAGTAAGTAGTCCCTCCATCGTGTTTTGTTTGTTTTGTTATTCCTCTCTGGAGGATATTTTTTCCCCTCATTTTTAGAGAGAATGTAATGGAGGGAGGGTGGGGGAAGAGGAGGGGATGGTAGAGAGAGAGAGAAACATCGATGTGAGAGGGACACATCAGTCCATTGCTTCCTGCAGGCACTCCAAGTGGGGCCTGGGATCAACCTGCAACCCAGGTACATGCCCTTGACCAGGAATTGAACCTGCGGCCCTTTGGTACAGGGGCTGACGCTCTGCCACTGAGCCACAGTGGCCAGGGCTGTAACCTCTCCGTCTTGAGTTCTCTCCTCCCTGGGGTTGGTGGTGTGTCCATTATCTCCTGCTTCACCTTGGGCCTCTCTGCTCACTCTCTGTGCCCCCTTTTCCTCTACCAGCTCCTCCAACTGCATGAGCTCCTAATGCTCAGCTGTTGGCTTTGGCCTTACTCTTGAAACTTCCTGGGCAGAGCTACCCTATACCCATTTATACTCCAACAACTCTTAAATCATTATGTCTAGCTGAGACCTCGCTCCATATATTAACTATTTAATGGGTAGCTCCACTTAGAGGTCCCATAAGCATTTCATACTCAATATGTCCAAAACCAAATTTATCATTTCTACCCCATCCCACCATGAAATCCACTGCCTTCCCCCGATTCTCTATTGCTAATCCTTCCCTCCTCTTTCCCTTGGCATCCACTCATTCACCTGCCAAGCCCATTTTACCTACTAAATGTCCCCATCACCCTCCTCTCCAGTTCCACTGACATTTTTCAGATCAGAGCCTCACTCAGTGCCTGACCACTGCAACAGCCTCTACCAACTTTCCTCACCGGGTCACATATCCCTCCAGGCCCTTATCCACCCTCTGCCAGAGGAATTTTCTAACTGGTATTATGATCATCTCATTCCTCTGCTCCAAATTTTTCAATGCTTCTTGATCTCCTACAAGATAATGTAAACTGCTCTGCATGAGGGACAAAGCGCTAGATAACACATAGTTTCTTTTTTTTTTTTTAATATGTCTNCCAGAGGAATTTTCTAACTGGTATTATGATCATCTCATTCCTCTGCTCCAAATTTTTCAATGCTTCTTGATCTCCTACAAGATAATGTAAACTGCTCTGCATGAGGGACAAAGCACTAGATAACACATAGTTTCTTTTTTTTTTTTAATATGTCTTTTTTATTGATTTCAGAGAGAGGAAGGGAGAAAGAGAGAGAGAGATAGAAATATCAATGATGAGAGAGTCATTGATCGGCTGCAGCCCGCAACCCGGGCATGTGCCCTGACCGGGAATCGAACCCCGATCGCCTGGATCCTAGGTCGATGCTCAACCGCTGAGCCACGCCCAGCTGGGAAACATGGTTTCTGATTTCTTTCTTGTCCAACCTCATATCTTACAACTCCCCCCTAATAATTATATCCCAGGAATACTCAGTTTTCAGGGCACTAATACCTCTGCACTGCTTGTTCATAGCAAATTCTTGTCTCAAATGCACCCCAACTAGAGATCGAAGCCGCATCCTTTTGGTGTACAGGAGGACACTCCAACCAACTGAACCGCCCAGCAACAATCTTAACTATGTGGATAGAGGGCCCTCTTCTCTAGTATTCTCATGAACTTTATACACATTACTCTTAAAGCAATTTTTATTTTTCTACTATAGTTTTGCTTTTAATGGTGGTCTTGAGAACAAAGT